GGGCGGGGCGGGATGCGGAAAGGGCCCTCCCCCAGCCACGCGCAAGCCAACGTTGCCCAACCGTTGCGTCGCTTGTCCCCCCTTTTCTACCGCTCGCCGCTCCCCAGCCTTTGGAGGGCTTTCTCTGCTGGGGGCAGGAGTGCGAGGCCCGTCTGGCCCGGGGGGTCCTCTGCTTCCCTCCCCCCCCCCATCGGGAGCGAAGAGCCGGTGGGGGAGGGATGTGCTGCAGCTGGGCAGAAGCTGCCGACGCTGCTCTCCTGGAAATAACCTTGCTGCATGCTCGGAGGCAGCGTGAGAAATTGCTGAGCAGAGCGCTTTCTGCACAGCCCGCGCGACCGCGCTGTCAGCACGACGCGGGGGGACGGGGGGGGCCGAGCTGTGTCCCCGTCACTCAGCCCCCTCCCCACCACAGGCACCCCCAGCCTCCACGGGACAAATGGCAGCAGCCGCTCGCCCTGAGCAGGGGGGTCCCATGGGGGGGGGGACTGCATTTAGGGGATGCTCAGCCACAGCTGGGGTGGGGTGTCCATGCTGGCCCGCTGGCACGCACGGGTGAGCCTGGCCGTGCACTGACCCCGGGCCCCCAACAGCCCCTGCTGTCACCACCAGCAGGGATGTGTCCTCTGAAGAAGCTGGCAAGGGCCAGTGTGCATGAGGCAGGAGACCACCGGGACCAGTTTGGGGGTCCTGGGGTGGCAGCGTGTCCCACAGGGTCACTGGCCCGGCAGGGAGTGGGGCTGTGGCTGCTCCTCTCACGGTGACCTTCGTGAGCCAGCACAGAGGGACAGGGATGCCCACGCGGCGCCCACTCAGTCACGGGTCAGGGGTCCCTTACCTGGAGCCAGGCCATGAGCAGACCTGCACCAATGTCACATGGGGGTGACACTACCAGAGCGGCACCCAAGCCCCGCTCTGCGCCTGGGGGGCTGTGGGTCCCTCTCCTCAGCAGGAGCCCCGGGCCCCGGTGCTGCTGGCATCCAGGTGCTGCCCCATCCCTGGGGAATAGCTCCTGCAGGGGCCAGGGGGATGTGGGGGGGGGCCTCCCTCAGCCCCTTTGCTGGGGAAGGGAAACCCAGGGCAGCTTCTTACCCCTCGCCCTGGCTGCCCCGGGTTTTGAAAGGCGAGGAGGTGGATGGAGCAGAGCTCATTACGGGCGCCTGCCCCAGTGAACAATGAGGCTCTCGGCACCGACAGCTGTCTGGTGGCTAATGGCCCCCGGGGGCTGCCTGCAGCCGGGGCAGCAGGGCGGCACTCGGGCAGGCGCAGCTGGACGTCCCGCAGCCCCATCCCCGGCTCCCACCCAGAGCAGCCCTGCGGGATGGGACCCATCCTGCTGGCAGATGCGGACAGGAGCCGGGACAGACTCAGCCCCTGTGTAGATGAGGCAGCTCCGGTGCTTGGGGACAGCCCACAGGGCTGAGCGGGGACAGGGACCGGTGCGGGGGGGACAGCCCCTGTTCTGCACCCTTAATGGGCATTTTTGGCTCGTGGCTTTCCCCCATCCCCGGTGGGGCTGGCCCGGAGGGACGGTGACCCCCGCTGTGTCGTCCCTGCAGGGTACCTCCAGCACTGCCTGGCGCCAGCCGGCTACGACACCGACAAGAAGCAGGGTCTGCCACCGCCACCGCCGGACCCAGCCTACGCGCCGGGCCACGAGGAGTACAGTGACCCCGAGAGCCCCCAGTCCAGCTTTTCCGCCCGCTACTTCAACGGGGAGGCGGCGGTGACGGACAGCTACTCCATGGATGCCTTCTTCATCACGGACGGGCGGTCGCGCCGGCGCAGCGAGAGCCAGCGCCGTGGCAGCCACCGCCACTCCTGCCCCGAGTGTGGCAAGACCTACGCCACCTCCTCCAACCTCAGCCGGCACAAGCAGACCCACCGCAGCCTGGACAGCAAGATGGCGAGGAAATGCCCCACCTGTGGCAAGGCTTACGTCTCTATGCCCGCCCTGGCCATGCACGTCCTCACCCACAACCTCAAGCACAAGTGCGACGTGTGCGGCAAAGCCTTCAGCCGGCCCTGGCTGCTGCAGGGCCACATGCGCTCGCACACCGGGGAGAAGCCCTTCGGCTGCTCCCACTGCGGGAAAGCCTTCGCCGACCGCTCCAACCTGCGCGCCCACATGCAGACCCACTCCGCCTTCAAGCACTACAAGTGCAAGCAGTGCGAGAAGACCTTCGCCCTCAAGTCGTACCTCAACAAGCACTACGAGTCCGCCTGCTTCAAGGGCTCCGAACACAGCTGTGCAATAGGGAACTAGCCCCCCAGCCCCCTGTGGCGCATCCCCGTCCCCATCCCTGTCCTCATCACCATCCCCATCCCTATTACCATCCCCGTCACCATCCCCATCCCCATCCTGGTCCCGGTCCCCGTGCCACCACTCCTGCAGCTGCAGCCAGCTGGTTTGTGGCTGCGCCGTGGCGGGAGGACACATCGCCACAGACTCACTCCCCACCTGGGAGGAGGTTGCCCCAGCGCTCCCTGGGAAGGGCCGGATCCAGCCAGGCCCGCAGCGGGACCTGGCTCCTCGCCCGTGGGTCCCCGAGCCCCCCCCGCAGCCAGGCAGGTCTCTCTGCGGGGGACTCACCCGGGGACCTCTTCCAGACCCAGGAGAGACTTTCCTCCCCCAGCTCATGACTTTCACCTCTATTTATTTAATTTATTACTATTATTTATTTAGAGCTGCTGCTTCTCCTCCTGAGGAACCCCAGGGGAGAAAAGACACTTTTCTGCTCCCCCCAGGAGCAAAACCTCACCTTGACCCTAACACTGATGGGACCATGGGCTGGTGCTACTGATGGCTCGGTGGGACTGATGGACAGTGCGGCTGATGGGAGGGCAGGGCTGTCACTCATCCTTGAAGGCTGGGGTCCCTGCAGCCCACCACCCGGGCCCTGGGGCACTCCGACGCCCCCCTGCCCGGCACGGTCCCGCGGGACATGGTCCCGTGGCACAGTGCTCACCCTGGCACTGTGGCTTTGCAGCCCCAAAGTCAGGGAAAGAGTGAGGGGCTCCCAGCAGAGACCCATGGGACACATCCCCCACCGGCTCCCAGCTCCCAGCTTGGCCAGGCACAACTGGCCCCCACCACGGTGATGGGCTGGGGAACAGCCCCCCCGGGCAGGTGCAGCCCCCCTCGCCGTGCAGACAGCCAGGCTGGCAGCTGGGCTGGAGCCCCAGCCCTGGGGCAGCACCTGAACTCCCAACCGCCCCCCCACGTACCCCCAGCCTCTGCCCGGACCCCTCCCCGGCCAGCTCCCGGCCCTCTTGCCATCACCCCCCACCTGCGCTCAGGAGGAGGGGGTCAGTGTAGCCGTAAAGTTTGGGTGAGTCTATTTAAATGTTCTTATTTATATTATTTATAACTGATGCTTTTCACTATTTATTTGCCAAGACTGGCAGGGCCGTGCCAGCGCTGGCTTGCAGGAGGTGGCAGAGCTGCAGCAGAGCCGCCGTGCCCAGGACACAGCCGCGGTGACATGGACGGGGACAGGACCCCGAGAGCGGACCGTGCGGTGGGCACGGAGACAGGAGGGCGCGAGCTGGCCCAGCAGCCCAGGCTCCGTGCCCCGCAAGCCTCCCCCAAAGGCAAAGCCCTTCTCCTTCGTCTTCCTCGCTGCCGCAGGCTCCTGCTCTGCTCCCTGCCCCGCGCCAGCCCGGTGGGGACAAACCAGCCATTCTATGCAACCTCCTGGCGGAGCATCCCCGCACCGGCCCCGGAGCGAGCGCCGCGTGCGCGGCATCCCGGAGCAGGGCCCGACCTGCGCCTCTGCTTCCTACCTCGGGCTGCGAGCTGCCGCGGCCCCATCACCCCGTGCCCGTCCCTGACACCTTCCGGGTTCAGCCCGGCACCCCACGGGGCCGCACTCGCGTACCCCCACACCGTCTTCCTGCGCCGTCTTCCTCCCTGCACCGTCTTCCTCCCACCGCCTCGGTGCCCGTGTTGCCACTGCCGTGGCTTGCGGGCTCGACGCCTCCCGGGGATGTCCCTGTCACGGGCCTCGCTGCAGCGGCACGGTGGCCACGCACCTGCACCCCACGCAGGGGAAGAGCATTGCCCTGGCCACGCAGGCACCCCACCAGCGAGTACGCAGCAGTTCAGGCTTTCCCCACGATGCCGGCGCCTTTCTGCAGCAGCACGGCGTCCCTCGGCCAGGCAGGCATGGAGCACCGCGCCTCTGCCCCTGTCTATACTGTAAATAGCAGATACTACAGCAATAATTTTCCGTGCATGATAGATTTTTTTCTGCCAGGTTTTGTACTCGCCAGCCCCCAGTAAGACAAGTCTACTGAGAACCGGCCGCCCGCAGTATTACTTGTAACGCAATTCAGGGATATAAAAGGGATTTCTGCCACTAACCATGTGTCTCGAGAGATTTGTACAGGCGGTGGCGTGTGGTGGCATGTGAGCACCGGACAGGGGAAGCCAGCCCCAGAGCACAAGCATCACAAAGAAAACATATGCCCCCAAACAAGGGGTGGAGATGCCCTGGCAGCTGGCCGGGCAGGGGACGGCTGACGCATCCAGAGCATCCAACGCTGCCCGCTTTGCCTTGCCAGCCCCGGCAGCCAGCGGGCAGCAGCCAGACAACCCCCTGCTGCGGTGAGCAGTGGGTCAGTAATGCCACTCTGCTTGCAAAAGCGCCAGGGAGGCTGCGAGCAGTGGCAGGGCATTGACCTGGAAGTAAAGCGCTGTGTGAAATCCCAGCAGTGGGATGGAGAGCCCGGCTGGCAGCCCAGGGGATGCCCAGCAATGCTCACACCCCCCCCAGCCTCACCCCCTGGGCTCGGCCGCGCTGGACGGGAAGGATTCGGTGAGCAGATTTTACTTTGACTGCTGTCACGTTCTCATCCACTCCCTTCTGTGCAGGCATAGGTTGGGGGTGGTGGGAACAACCTGGCAGAGTCCCCATTCCCGGGGGCAGCCAGGCACTCCTGTCTCCCACCCCTCTCGCTGCCTTCCTTCCCCACAGTTGGGTGCCAAAGCAGGAGGGCAAATTATTTTTGGCCTCCAGCTCATTAGCAAAGCCCTCGCTGAGCCCTGCTCTCCCCATGACATCGGTGCCACCCCGCAGGCAAGACCGCAATAATTCACGTGCAAAGTCATCACTGGATTAATCCTGCAAAAAGCTCATCCCAGAGCCTCGCAAAACCATCCCCAACCATCACCGTCACCGGCCCCCACACAGGCAGTGAGTCACGCAGCGTGCCCTGTCATGCCAGTGCGTTTCCAAGCCAGCTCTGGGGCTGGGGACCCTCCATGCCCCTCAGGTCCCAGGGCGAGGGGACCAGGAGCAGCCGCCTGCCAGCATCACAGCCCCGCTATGGAGCCAGGCTGCGCTGGTTGCGGCAGCTGGTGGAGTGGGAGACCCAGTTTTTGCTGGGATCCTCTCTGCCATTTGGGACACTGGTCTGGAGAAATGACCTAGAAAGATTCAGGGCCGGAGCGCCATGGTGTCTGCCCAGCCGCAGAGCATCCATGCTTCACTGCTCAGCTCCGGGGCTATTTCATGCCACCTCCTCTGGACCCTGTGGGTGTCAGCACAGTGGGGAGGGGGTTCTGGGATGGGGACATGGTCCTGGCATGGCCAGGCAACACGGGGCATATCCCAACTCCCAGCTGAGATGCCATAGGAAGATCCTTAGTGCCTCGGCACAGCCAGGTGGGAGCAGAGACCCTCGGGCAGCCGCAGGGTGGGCGGCAGGATAGGGACCCCCAGCACACCAAGAGGCTCAGCCGCTGCATGCCGAGGGGTGTCCCGCTCAGATGGGGAGCCGAGGGCAGCCCTGACCACAGCCTCACCGGGGCAGAGAGGAGCGGGCAGCAGGCCAGCTGGCGCTGGCACCGGTCCCAGCAGCCTGTCCTGCTCCTTCACTGTGACTCTGCAAAACAGCAGGGCGGTGGCGGTGACGATGGCGATGGCGGGGCCAGGAGGAAGCAGAGGGGCCCGGCTGGGTGCTGTGCTGCTCCGGGCAGAGCGGCAGGCTCGGCTGGGTGGACAAGAGGAAGGACGAAGCCAGCTCCTGGCAGCAGCCATGGCCGAGGCTGGGGACCGCAGCATCCACACGCAGCACATCTCGGCCGTGCACAACGTGCCCATGCGTGTCCTCATCCGGCCCATCCCCGCGGAGCTGGAGCCGGGAAAGGTGCAGAGCCTGGTGGAGACCCTGCAGGTGAGTGCAGCCCCGCTCCCCCTGGGGTGTTTGGGGCAGCCGCCCCCGCACCGACCCGTGCCACCCTGGGGGGCACTGCCGGGGAAACTCTCAGCACCGAGGCCCTGGCACAGGCGGGTTGGGGGGTGCCGGGGCGTGCATTGATCTCGGGGGTCTCTCCCTTCCCAGGAGGATCCCGAGCGGGTGCCCCCCATCGATGTGCTCTGGATCAAGGGCAGCGAGGGGGGGGATTACTTCTACTCCTTCGGGGGCTGCCACCGCTTTGCCGCCCACAGGGCCCTCAACCGGGAGACCATCCCCGCCAAGATCATTCCCTCCACCCTCAGCGACCTCCGCACCTACCTGGGCTCCTCCACGCCCCACCTGCGCTAGCCCGGCACCCCGGTGGGTGCACGGCCCGCCGCAAGCCCCCCCGGCCCCGTGGGTCCCCGTGGGCTGAGCTGGGCCTGATCCTGGGTCCCGGTCAGCCTCCGCTGAGGATGGGGTCAGCGTGTCCCGGCCCTGGAGGTGGTGGGGGGGGGTCCCCGGGTCCCTGCGGGGCCGGGCTCTCCCCGCGCCCCCCCCGGCCGGGATGGGGTCGGGAGCCCGCTGGC